GAAAGAACAAATCAAAGACGGGTTCAGCGTTAGTGAAATCTTCCAAAACAAGGTGTTCTTCTCCCTGGTAGTCTCGCTGCTGTCTACCTACGGCCTATGGGTCATCGCCTCACTGCTGGCGTTCGATCCCTGGCACATTCTCACGTCATTCGTGCAATATCTAGCCTTGACACCCACGTACGTCAATGTGCTGAACGTGTACGCCTTCTGCAATACACATGATATCTCGTGGGGTACCAAAGGCGACGATAAAGCCGAGGAGCTTCCCAAAGTTGACACCAAAGACGGCAAAGGTAAGACCGACTTGCCGGACGAGGGTGATCTCAACGCACAGTACGAGAAGGAACTCCAGGTATTCTCGAAGAAAGTGCCAAAGGCCGTCAAGGGTCCCAAATCCGAAGCGCAGAAGGCGGAGGACCAGATGGATTACTACCGCTGGATCCGCTCCCTGGTCGTCCTGATATGGATTTTCACCAACTTTGGCCTCGTCGCCCTCGTCCTCAGCACCGCTGGCGTTGAGGATCTCAGTCCGGGTCATACCGAGACCGAGGAGGACGAAGCGGCGCGCTCGACGCTGTACACGACTATCATATTGTGGAGTGTTGCGGGACTGAGCGCGTTTAAGTTCATCGGCGTCTTGTGGTTCCTTATTGTACGCTTGTTCAGAGGTGTATAGAATTTTGTTTGGAAAGAGAAAGAAATATCAGAAAGAAAAGACGATTGTTGATCCATTATTTCTATTGATGCCGGAACGTGTGATGATAACTTTTTCTTACACCATTGTATTTGGGGTTTTGTGGAATTGGAAGATGTTCAAATATGCTTTTTCATCCCCGCAATTGTACACTTTCCTCTTTTGCATGTATCAAGCCGAAGCATCACCCATTTGTTTTCTGATAGTCATTTTCTCCTTTTGTATTTTTTGTTGCGGCTGTCTGTAGAGACAGGTACTTCTACCGATTTTGCATTTTGCGCTCCTCTCTCCCCTGATACCCCCGGGGCTATGTATTTTGTTGCGATTAAGGGCATGAGGAGCTATGAGAGAAACAAGAGAGAAGAGAATGAGAGGAGTGATGATGTACATATTTATGTTTAAAAAAACATGGAAGCTGGGTAGATGAACGAAGACATTTTCTTGCGATGATAGTAATAAGATATGTATGTTCAATGTTGTCGGTTGAGAAACTCCTTGAATGTGTACATTCATCCAGTATACATATGTTTACATGCTTGCATGCTTACGTATATCTATGCAATACGTACGTGGAACAAGCTCTCGAGGCATACCGAAAGCATGCCACGCTATGCCTATAATCGGGGGACAGCAGCCTGTACTTTGATGTAGGTAAAGACACTTCTTATTGTACGAAGGTCTAAAAAGCTTAGTAGGCAACTATCTAACTAGATACAAGTGTTTCATTGCGCCTTGTGACAGTAAAAACATCATTTCCCGAGATACTGTCAAGTCTTCCCGTTTTACGCCACCCAATAGGCCTGCTTTGGAACTCTTGTATTGGGGAAACATAAGAGTCAGGGGTGCGCATTCACCTCGAGTACTAGAGAAACCTCCCGTCCAGTTATCTGGCCGTTTGCAGAGGGAAAAACCAGCAGCACACCCTACCTAACCTATGGGCCATAAAACCTCTCATTTATGACCACCCAGTCCACCTTTGTCCTTTCCTGAAGCCCTATGATCGGTTAGCTTCTCGCTGGAGCTAGAATAAAAGAGGTGAAGCCTTACGATTATTCGGAGATCTCATGCGCGTATCATGCGCCGGGGCGCTTGCACTTGCTGCTGTAGCGCTCTGCTCGCTGGGCCACGAGTCCAACCAACCTAGCCAACCACCAAGGCGACAGTAGGAAAGGAAATCTCCACGCGCCCTCGGGGACGATGGCCAGACGCCGAACTTTTTCGAAATCCTTTGTTTTTGGTCCAGAGTAGTGAGCATTCAGGTGTAAGCTCTGCGGCTCCGAAAAACAGAGTATCACGATTGAAGTCGATGTACACCCTCGGCTGGGGGGGCTTTGCCAACGCCAAGAGATAATGAGTAATGTTTCAAGGCTTCATGTCGAGCCTCGTCAGCATTGACATGTAAAAGGGCAGGAACCTGTGTTGTGGACTGCCATGTAATCTTCGCTGTCGAGAGGTTGTGGTAACACTCTATCTAAGGAAATCGGCGGAGCCTTCTGTGAAAAGGACGATTCGCAGGCGACGCTAGCCATTGCACATTATAATGAGGCGGTCCTATATCTTATTAGCACATGACCTCGTTAGACATCGGAGTAAGAAAACTCACTTTCTCATTAAATGCAGAGACGTTTGTCGAATCATGTGCCGATGTCACTATATTGGCGTGACTGGCAAAGTCTCGCATGAGGCTATTCAACCCTCGCTTATTTGAGATATATATTGGCGGAAGGCGGCGGTTTAACATACTGGTGACGTGTATATCCGGCCTCAAGTTCCAAGAGAGGAACCACAAAGCTTCGACAATGATCAGGGCCCTGATTACCCCTATTAGATGGTTAGTTAAGATTACCGCAGGTCACTGACGAAGAATCTTGGAATATCTACTAGGGAAAAAAGGAGCAGAAAATCATGACTTACGTCGAAAGGCAGAGCCTGAGCAGCGATGAGTAGTATCTCGAGAAGATGGACGAGCTTCTTCATCGGGCGTGGGATCGATCAACTCAGGGCGTGAGAACAGATAGAGTCGCTATAAATAGTTAGCCAAAGTCCAAACCATTACACAGAATAATACGAGCAGTTCATTCATGCGAAGCTCTAGATCAGGTACTTCGGGGAAAACAGGAGGTGCTTACTTGTTGTTTCTTCTCGGGTATCACTTATCGTTCCCTCCTGGTCGGAAGACAGTCCTCCCTCTCGCGGCCGATCTCGCGGAATCCCAGCAAACGACAGCCATTAGCGATTCTCGAATTCGGTAATGCTATCGCCTTGTCGACTCCCATGTGCAGAGCCAGCCGCATCCCAAACTGCAGCAGCTCGAGCTGGAGATGGCAGTTCGCATATCGGCGATTGGTGGCATTGAGGTGGTGTAGGAGCGCGATGCCGATGCAGACATGGATCAGTCCAATGAAGAGGAGTGCTTGATCAGCCGTTCTCTTGAAGCCTTTGCTGACCAACGCGGCCTCGAGCAGAGGATTCGGCTTGGGCCCCACGTTCCACCGGACCGGCGTGTTAGACCCCCGATAATAGCCTGCCACGAGCTCGATCATGTTGCCTGGGACGTATCTCGTCGGCAGGTTGCTGTGCTCCAAGATGTTCGGGTATGAGGGCTCGCTATCCTCATCTTCCGGGCTGCCATGCGTATGCTTCGACACTCATAGAGCCTGCGGTGAAGCTGGCACCTAATTGGTACACTACTTCCGACGCAGCTCTGATTTCGCCCTTAAGCTTCTTGATGTTTCTGGTGAACATCCGGAAGATCCGCTTGTTGTAGTCTGAGATAGGTGGCATGTCGGTGCCGACCTGAGGTGTGTTGATGTTGGACGACATGTTGTATAGTTGTGATGGTGGGGGGGGGGGGGGGTTTCGATATGTGGGCTAAATGAAAGTTGAAAAAAAGTTGATGGTATCTGGGGGACTGGTGCTTGGAGAGTGAAGGAGGAATAGCAGACACTTGGGAGGCGTTGTCTGTTCTTATACACTTATTTCCTGGGGGCCAGATATGGCTGGACTGAATAAAGGTTGTGTGGAAAACCTAAACTCGTTGATATCAGTAACCTAAAGTCATACAATATTATACTTCGCGATGATTCGAAGTATAATGGACGACGAACTCACCCACCGCTGCTATACCCACACCCTCCCAATAGGGGTCCATATTGCGGTCTTGGACATGCTCATGATATACTGACTCTTGTCTTGATATCCGTGTCGTTATTCAGACATTCAAGACCTTACATCTGCCCATATTTGCGAATAGGGGGTAATAGACACTTGTTGTTGCCGCTCAGTGTCAGGATATAGAAAAAAGGGGCAGCGTGTGTATATAGCTTAGTAGCAGTCTTTAGAGGATGTTGTGACTCTTCGCGCAACAACAAGTGGTGGAACCCCCTCCCTATGATTGACCCCTTCGTGACATGCAGAGAAGGGGTGTGCGTAAAGATACGTGGTATGAAGAACCCTGGCAAGTTTTGCAAAGTTCTGGAGTCTATCACGGCCATTGTTTACGTTTCGGACTCGTTAAACCCTAATGTTGTAGCTGTTGGCACGGATACATCGAGGGAAACCCTAAATCTTTGTTTACAAACCTACTTATTGTTTACTTTAGCGGAGTGAGCGTGCCATGGCCGCGTAAAGCTAATAGCATAGGTACTCAGTTACTTCGTGCATCTCAATCAGCCGCGTAAACGAACTTTCTTCTTTGATATGGATGCCTAGAGAATCACATAGATTGGTATTCTTCATGGTTATGCCTCGCCAGCGAAGGTTCTATGATTCCGTGAATACTACACGTCCATTGAATATGTCAAGTACAGTTTTGTAGATAAGCAATCAGAACTTAACGTCAACAACATACTTTACAAGCTCGTTCCACACATTTGGACACTCAGTGATCAGTATAAAACTAGATGGCAATGAACAGGCTGACGTTGGTCATAATTCGTCGAGTCTGGCAGGGAACAGGAGACCACCAGTCAATGCCATGGAAAATTGTAAATCTCTCGCGCAGTATGAGTCATTCTCTTGTTTAGAAACAAATGATGAACAGCTAAACGGGACATCTTAATAGGAACCTAATCTACGAACTCTGCTTTCTTTATCACTCTTTGGGTTTCAAAAAGGAGGTTGTTTTACACACTCTCTCACACCCTCACCCCATGCCTTGACATTCTCACCGTGCATCAAACTTTAAAAGCTTTTCAGACACGTTGAACCTAGTCTGCACCTACCCTACAAACCTTGAACACCGTGCATGCAGGAAAGAAAGCCAACTGATGACAAGAGCATTGAAGATGAGCAAAAAATAAATCGCTGGTCACTATGAGGGTCGAACTCATGACTTTCGCATTACTAATGTTATAAGATGTATAATATTAGTACGACACTCTAACCAACTGAGTTAAGCGACCAAGGCAACTGATTGGGCGGTTCAACTCAATCTGAAATCATTAACGACGCGTGTAGTTAGGCTCCGTAAGTTACATAGCTAATTGGTTAACCTTTTTTTTTGGTGTTGGGGGGGGGGGGGGGGGGGGGGGTTTTTTAAAAAAAAAAAAAAAGGGTTTTGTTTAAGGGAAGTTGGGTAACATTTTAAAAATTTTGTGTTTTTATAAATTGTGTT